GTATGTTTTATAAATAATATTAGGCATGTATGGACCATACAATCCACATATTGGCATCACGAGCTTCGATCTCCCTAAATGGGATACCATGACATGCATCAACCAACCGATCCCGTCTGTCGTCTTTTAATGGGATACCATGACGTGCATCAACCAACCGATCCCGTCTGTCGTCTCTTAATGGGATACCATGACATGCATCAACCAACCGATCCCGTCTGTCGTCTCTTAGGATAAGCATGGATTGCTGAATTACAATTCTAACTCGAAATTCACGGATTTGAGTAGACAATAGAGTGAGTGAGTGAGTTATTATTTAACGTCACATCGGCAATATTGCAGCCATATCGTGACGAAAACATATTTGACATTGAAATGGAATATATGTATATTATAAAAACCTGTCGGCGAACGACAGTAAAGCAACTAGGATATCACAATTAGGAGTAGTGAGTGAGTGAGTTAATATTTAACGTCACATCGGCAATATTGCAGCCATATCGTGACGAAAACATATTTGACATTGAAATGGAATATATGTATATTATAAAAACCTGTCCACGAAGGACAGTAAAACAACTAGAATATCACAATTAGGAGTAGACAACAGATAGACTGGAAGCGTATAATAAGGAAGTAAAATAATATTATATTTCTTTCCCAAATGATAACGCATTGCAAACACGAACGATACGATATATTAAAGACCCGACAGCATTGCAAACACGTATATATTCGACAGCAAACACCTGGCGAGTCCTCCACCGCGGTGAAAGATTCCAGGAAGAGTTACTTCCCCTATTCAAAACGCTCCCTTGAAAATGGGGAAATCCTCAGTGATGGAAACAGGTAAACATTTATTCATTCCATTAGAACATTCGCGTCAATCAGTTACGGTCTTGCGTATTTACATTCAGTCTGTGATACGTCAGTGTTTTCAATATTTATTGTAAGGCACTATTTCAAGGTTTGCAGAGATGGAGAATCACATGCGCAGTTTCTGGTCTTCTCGCTATCATTTACAGGCTGCAGTCCATAAGATACTGTTGGGTTTTGTCCTGATTTGCTCTGCTTTCTTGTCAAATAGTTTGTGTGCCAGTACACTCGTAAACACCATCACTTGAATCTTCTGTGCCAGCTTTTAGATGCAAACGTGTGTTCACGATCCATTCATTAGAGCTTATTGGCGTGAGTGAGTGAGCGAGTTGGACGCCGTTTTAGCAATAGCCGTACACTTCGTCGGACACCACAGTGAGTGAGTGAGTTTAGTTTTACGCCGCACCCAGCAATATTCCAGCTATATGGCGGCGGTCTGTAAATAATCGAGTCTGGGTCAGACCATCCAGTGATCAACAGCGTGAACATCGATCTGCGCAATTGGGAACCGATGGCATATGTCGACCAGGAGGACACCGGAAATGGATAAGGTACACATTGTATCCATGTTGTGAATCGAACCTTGGACTTTGGCATGACGAGTAAACGCTTTATCATTAGGCTACCCAGCCGCTCCTGACTAGAATTCATACCGTCGTTAATTTCACCCCAGACCTAGTTTAGCTGTAAATTTGTTTAATGACTTTCTTGTCATGATCAATGTCGACAAATTTGATTTCACAGTATTTCGTATTTAAGACACCTAGAAAATACACACAAGACACCTTTTCGCAGATAGGACTCTGTCAGAATATCTCCCAACACTGTTTGTCAGATCTGGGCGAAAGCATCAGTGTCGTAGTATCGTGCTGCCAGCTCCTACTATACTGCATCCTGCTCGTATATGTCCTGGCTGTTGTTACATAGCTGAAATACAGCTGGAATATTGCCGTCCCCGACGCCAAAAGAATATTTATTCTTTTCTTTTCTACCTCGAATTTCTGTTGTGGAAATGTCCTGAAGAAAGCTCCAGAAATGACAACATGACACTTTGATCGTTATCTATATACATGTATTTTAATCATCCATTTAGAACCCAACATTATGGTGTACATGCTGGTACAACAAACATTCATCCATATTATCAAACCTTTCACATGGGGTTAGTTTGACACTAAATGTCGTACAAAATACTCAACAAACGCATGTACGTGAATCTCCAAACACGTACACGGAGAGGGGGCGGTGAGGATGCACGTACTATGAAAAATATATCACACACACTCACACAATGCATTTAAGGATCGATTTGTTGTTGTAAGCTAATACATGATTAAATAAACCGTTTGATAAATACTTTCGGTTTTAAATCATATTAAGAGCTATTATAATTTCGTTATATACCTATGATTTTCCAACTCAATATGTTTATCTCCATTCTACCATTACCGTGTTAAGACTTTATTCAAATACATACTGTGTTGGAAATCAGAGGCATATGGCGTAATTATACAACTCTGAATGACTTTGATTAACCAATCGCAATTCAGTATTTACTGAAGTCATGGTAGAATCGGTATTACATGATACATATTTTTCACTACACCATCACCACCGACCTGCACTTTCTCGGATTCACCTGGGTCACGTGGCCTCAACACTCGTTAGTTAGCATCGTAATCAAAACATCTCGAAAACAAACTATTGCATGGGTAAACATTGTACTTCACTGTGCTGAATACATGCAGATTGTGAAGGTACTGCTGTATCTATACCGTTATAAATATAAATTACACAGACGATCTTGTCGAAAATATCTGCCTGTATAGCCACAGTTAGTGTTTTGCTATTATGAAATAGACATGAAGTGTTAGAAAGAATTTTAAAATGGCAATACGTTTATGTCCTTTCATATAACATGATATTGAACTAAAACAGTACAAATACCCTAATTACTTCTACAAAATTTGGGGCGGTGGGGTAGTCTAGTGGTTAAAGCGTTGGCTCGGCACGGCGAAGACCCGGGTTCGAATCCCCACATGAGTGAAGCCCATTTCTGGTGTCCCCCGCCGTGATATTGCTGGAATATTGCTAACAGCGGCGTAACACCAAACTCAGTCAGTCAGTCTACAAAATTGATCAGGGCCCTCGTATCCGTTATAGCACAGGTCTCAATAGGTAGAAGATGTTATCATAGAACGTACACCTTCTGAAAGGTACATGGCGGCCGCATGAGGTATGACAGGAACAAAGGAGTTGAACAATAGCATGTGTTACAACAGCAACACAGGTATTGAGTTGTATCATGTAATTTGAGAGCATAGAAGAAAATAGAAGCACCTGAGATATAGCATTTGTTTGGGTGCAATTCCAGGTACTACACGGAGGTCTTGGGTGTACGATATAATACGAGGGGCTATCAAATAGGTTTGAGCTTAAAAAGCTAAATTTCCTCTTAATAATAATGGCCATTTATAAAGCACCTGTTTCCACACACTTGTGCATGCTCAAAGCGCTAACACTATTACCCCGGATAACCCAAGCTGCATGTGAGGTGCTAGAAGGTTAATAGTCACTTGACTTAACCCACCGGGTACCCATTTTCTGCTGGGTGAACAGAGACAATTTTGAACAAATACATTTACCTAAAGTAAGACTACATGTATCACATGTGCTTCGTTGTGGGACTGAAGTCCTAGAAACTCTCAGGAGTCACGTTGCCAAACACCGTGACCCATCGAAGGACTCCTCGCGCTCAACTACAACTGAATTGTGACCTGAATTCCATGCCCAGGACCACACACCACCGCGCTATGTCTTATGACACAAGGAAGTAGAGGAGCTGACTCATGTCATTATGTTACACGAAGGTAGAGGGAGTGAGTCATATCATATGACATAAGGCGGTAGATAAACTGAGTCATATCATATGAGATAAAGAGGTAGAAAAAAATAGTTATATCATATGAGATTAGGAGGTAGAAAAACTGAATCATACATGAGATAAGGAGGTAGAAAACGGAGATCATAGAGAAAGCATACATGAGATAAGGAGGTAGAGAAACTGAATCATATATGAGATAAGAAGGTAGAGAAACTGAATCATATATGAGATAAGGAGGTAGAGAAACTGAATCATATATGAGATAAGGAGGTAGAGAAACTGAATCATACATGAGATAAGGAAGTTCAGGAAATTATATCATATGATAGAAGATAGTATTATCGTATTAGCTTGTGTCCTTTTAAAATAAAAACACATGTGGACCGTCACAAAAAAAACAAATAATGCCAGTTAAGATATAAAAATAGATATGGACATATGCCGAAACCGATGTTTATGCTTTTACTATGTGTATAGGTGGCAGTCTACAAGACAATGACACATACATTTCATGTACAGTGAAATTTTGCAAAACATGATTACCATACCCTAAACAAATTCAGCATTTCATAATTATCATAACCTATTATATTCTACAGCATATGTTTGCTATGTCCTATGAAATTCTGCATTCAATAATAACACAATTTACGAAGATCCAAAGGACATATTTACCAGTAACCATATGCACTAATTGTTTTGATAAGCATACTAGACGTTGGTGAGCCAATAATGAAGCATACGACTTTCTGGATAATAATCTTCCTTATTGCACAGAGCGAAAAAATGTTTTATGCCATATGTATGGTTTACTAGATTGTTTGTTTGTTGTTTAACTCCGCACTCAGCGACATTCCAGCTGTCAATAATCGAGTCAGGACCAGACAATCTAGTGATCAACATCATGAGCATCGATTTGCCCAATTTGGATACAATGACATGTCGACCAAGTCAGCGAATCTGACCATCCAAGTCCGCTACTATATATCGTTTATTCGTTTTTTGTACATCGTTGAACAATAATATATGATGATATAGTGAAAGTGACAATGATTATACATTGCGGAGAGGCAAACAATGTTTAACATATTTTGCTACATTTAGAATAATTTCATGATCTTTACTGCATACTAGTAACTTATAAGAATAAGTAGTAGGGTTATCAGAAAATCTAGATGATGTATATGATATATATTTTCTCCTTATCAAATTATACATTGGGCACTCAAACAAAAAGTGTATAACATCTTCAACTACATTATCATTACAATTCTTACAGAAGCACAAACATTTATCTATACCCTGCCTACGACCAATAGTTGTTTGAATAGTTAACTCGTCTAATCTGAGCAAACATAAATATCTCCTCAACTCCCAGTTTCTAATATTCATGATATAATATTCTGTATCAAAACACGATTTTAACTGGAAATAATATTTTAACCTATCAGATGTACTTATGTTATTAAAAATTACCTGTATATTACATTCACATATGCGTTGCTTAAATAGCATTAAATACATATCCACATTACCAATATCCTAAAACAGCCACACATCACCAAATCCGAAACTGAAAAGTAATTGCCTTACACCACTTGCCCATGTTGTCTTGCCAGATTCATCGAGTTGTTTCATTAAAAGATAACTCTGCCTGGGATACCTACTATTGTCCATCCTCAAAAGTTTGCACCAATATTTAACACATTAATTGATAATCTACATACAATTGATGTCTACCACACTCCGCCAAAACAGCATTACTAGAAGTATATTTGCTAACCCCTAGCACAAACTTACAGAAATTAGCATACTCGTCCCTTACGACAAGCATGGGTTGCTTCTAACCCGAATCTTCACGGGTACATTATATATGCACTGCAAATACACGTGAATGGTTACATACATAGTTACCATACCCAGTGAAGGTCTACAAAATGTAATTGCCATACCCCATGTCTATAAACCACTGCATCAACATGGGGCCGTGGTCCTCCATCCACAACTTCCTACTGTTGAACAAAGACAAGGCTGACCTGAGTACCGACGGACTGATAGAGCTTGTACTGTTTGCCAGCAGTTCCAGCTGCAAAAGATGCCCAGATTATAGGATATTTATATAGCGCACATATCCACGCAACTAGTACATGCGAAAGGCGCTGGCTCTCGATCATTGGATGTCAGTCTCAACGGTACACATTATCAACCTCAACTCAACCCTGGGGATCATACAAATCTAGCAGCCACTAGGCGCACCAAGTTATTACGGCTCTCCCATCCTTACGAGGTACCCACAGCTTGGTGGACTGGGACACATAGTCACAATACTTTGTCCAAGTTCACTGCACGTTGCTGTACCCGCAACTAGGTGTTTGCACGTATTCATGTGGCCACCATCTGGTCATCTACCAACGGATTCGTGGGTTCTTTTAAGTTCACAGGGTTGTGTACTGTACACTGGGGGTTGTGACGACATTGAAAGAGTCTGCACACAAAGTGGACAGATGTATTTTGAATACTGAATGATCAAATCAGCATGAATTTAGACTGATTTTAGCAATGTCAAGAGTATCAAGAAATATGAGCTTCACACTCTCCAGAATGTGAATACAGAAATGTGTGTGATGAGCTCAGACTAAACAATAATGTAAAAAATGCTATATAATATATATAATTCCGATTTTCGTAACACGTTTGGGTGATATATTTAGTTATCGACTATATAATATTCAGAATTGAAAGAGGCCCGGGTCCACAGAGCGCTTGTAGTGATAGATACATCCTAAAACTCCTTGTAACTTTCTGACAAAGATCTTAGCGATCCACAAGGCTATATTGGTGAACACCTCTCCTAAAGTTGGGGTAAAAGGTATGAAACTTACTTATATCAGTAAGTGAATGTTACTTAAGCCGTATCAGCAAGTTTGCAGCTATTCGCAGCTAGACCTATCTGAATTGAATCCGGATGGCGGCATATCTTTTGTTTGGCGTATTTAAAGAAGCATCAGCACTGCCAAGACTAAGTGCGAACTAAGTGTGAACTAAGTGTGAACTAGGTGTGAATTTAGTGTGAACTAGGGTGCCCGACAAAATGGATGATGACAGCTACCACATCATGTCATAAATAACTATAAAATGCAAAAGTTTCAATTGCCATCAGATTTCATGGTGAGGATTCCTATTTTACTGCACTAGCAGCCTTGCACGGGGTATCCCCGTGCACTGTGTCACAGGTATCTACACGCACATACCACGGTATCCTGAAACACTTGGAGCTAGTTTCCTTCCCAAATGGCGACACGAGACCACACAGACACCAATGAATCATTTTAGCATATCTGTACATTTCCGAGGTGTTGTAAAGATGGCATCTTTACACAAAGAAACGTTCACAGTCTACTCAGTCCTGCTAGGCCTAAGTAGCAGATAAACATCGTGTTTCTACGTTCTTACCTCTGATATGAAAGTACTTCCGGTCAGTGTCTGGGCGGCGATCATTATGACGTCTCTTGCTATTGACTTCCTGAGCCTGGAACACGAGCATTATGTGCTGAATCAGCTAGTTTTAAAAGCGCAATAAGGCAAGCCTCTCAACAAAATTCAGCCAAAATATTCTCCCGAAAACCTTCCATGTTGGAGGCATATGTATCTGTCTGTACCTCCTGAGTCACAACTATCAATGTGAAGTCATCCTATTATTTTGACGAAAGAGGCGACTACCGGTGGTCGGAGTTGAGTTGGTTGGTCAGGCTTTACGTCACATCGGCATTATTCCAGACTATGTGTTGACACAGTGTGCATTAGCGTTAAACAAAGTGGTTTCGTTTCAAATGTTTTGATTACAATAACTGGTGTTTGGAAAGAGAACATCTAAAAAGTATAATCCACTCGCAGTTGAAACAGTTGTGACATCACACAGTTACATATTTATGAAATAGATCAACGCTCTAGTTGTATCACATTCACGCTGGAGGGATCTTTTTTGATAATGCGAGTCCCTAATTAAGTACTGTTTATAGTATGTGTATAAACTAGGACCTCGGGCTCACAAGGGAGAATAATGTGATGTTTGGTAGAGGGTGAAAACGTGTATTAAATGTAATAAACTGTAATTTAAATAAATGTAACTATCATACGAAAAGTCTACATACATAGTTACCATACACTATAAAGATATACAAAATGTAATTATCAAATTGGTAGAGGCTGAAAACTTGTATTGATTACACAAAGATGTTTATCAGGATGAATCAAGGCGAACTGTATTTTTAGACTTTGGACATGTCTGTATGTTTACAGCTTCCAATATTTGTAAAAGCGAGGACCTTGGCCTCAGTGGGAGGACATGTTTTGTGGTGTGTTCGTAAAAACCTGATTACATTTTGTGGTTCACCAATAGAGTAAACTCTGCAATGTTAACTGCAACGGCATCCACTCCATCTCGACGAACACCACAACTCTATCCCACCTCATCACCGCACAAACCACCACACCCCCTCCCGATCCAATTGATGAACAATCGCATACAAATCAAAGCAACTCACGTGTTGATGTTTTCCTTGACAAAATTCCATACGATGTGCAAGGAGTGTCGGGATTTGGCCAAGTTGCGGAACACGGCTGGTTGATGGAATTTCTTTATCTTTTTAGAATCAGTTGAAATGTCCAGGACCCTGTTTTAAGAAACCACTTTGAATATCTGAATACGACGTGGCCTTCGATGTGAGTGAGGGAGTTGAGTTTTACGCCGCACTCAGCAATTCCAGCTATATGGCGGCGGTCTGTAAATAATCGAGTCTCAACAATCCATTGATCAACAGCATGAGCATCGATCTACGCAAATGGGATACGATGACATGTGTCAAACAAGTCAACGAGCCTGACCACCCGATCCTGTTAGTCGCCTCTTTTGACAAGCATGGGTTACTGCAGATCAATTCTAACCCGGATCTTCACAGGTGCCTTTGACGTAGTTTGATAGTGAGTATCACATGAAATACACCTGGTGATAGATGTTGGACACTGTTCCATATAATCTATCATAAGTCCCAAAAGGTAAAAGAAATTACTACTGTGAGAAACGATCACTTTGGAAACTACAGTCAATTGAAGATCTCTTGAATATAAGACGTCAGTGCAAAGGAATACGGATCTTGACTTTCCTCAGAAACAGAAACTATTTCGTGAGACAAGGATTAAGGGTTAAATGACTGATCGAACATTCGATACGTCGATGACCCTATAACTGTATATAACCCTCTCAGAATAATAAATGACAGGTTCAATAAACTATGATTAATACGATGTCCGTTTGTACAGCTAAGTTTGACTTTTCCATAATGCCATATAAAGCAAAGAATCCTACATTTGAAGGTAGTACAATTACCTAGATCATACTACCTATATCGGAACTGTATGGTAAGGTATCCCTATCCCTATTGTTAAAACTTAAATATTTCTTCAAAATCGTGACTGGAACATGTTGTACTCTTACTATATATAAAAACCGCCATCGAAGGACAGCATAATAACCATAAATTACTAGTCGTAGAAAAAATACAATATCCGAATATTGGATCACGATGCGAAAGTAAAATTTGGGCTATTGATCACCAGCAAGAAAGGCAAGGTCACCATGCTAGGGGCCATGGGGACTTACGGTAGCTCCACTACCTACATGGCCCCGAGCCGGATTTACACCTTTTCCCCAGTTACTGACGATTGTAGCAAGTTTACCCAGTGATTAAAATGAAAGAAATATTTTGCATTTAAAATTCAGGGAGATTGGAATGTGCTTATGCTTTAAAGATGGTATGCACTTAATGGCCACAGTTGGAAATAATGATGTTATGCCGTGTCTGTACTAAGGACGTCATACTGAGTGAGTGAGTGAGTTTATATATCAGCAACATCGTGATTTAAAAAGTTATAAATTGATGATAAATGGAATTGAACCTGTCGACGAAGGACAGTAAAGTAACTAGATCATCACAGATAGAAACGTAAAACCAGTAATATATCTGAAATATTAACTATAGAGGACAACACAATATAAAGGCGGGCCATACATTGCCAACAACTGAAGGTAGATCACCATACTAGACACGACGTCGCACTGATGTACTGAGCGTACCTTCTGATGAGCCAGGGATCTTTGGGACAGGTTAGAGACTTTATCAGTCGATGAGCATATCGGTAGTCGGTGGTGGTGCTGTACACGTCGTACACAGTCCGCCACGCCTCTAATCCCCCCTCCCATACCCCGTAGCAGGTGACGACGTCCATGATATCCGGGGACGGCCTAGAAGTATAATTATATATTGTGAAATAACACGCCAGTACACCATCGACCTTGTTTAAACACTGGCGTGTAATTGTTATCTAAACGTTCCAGTTGAAAATGGAATCAGCTCTATTGTTTTGCGGACAAAATGGCAAATGTCGAAAGGGCAAGGTACGGACAAAAAGATGGATAGGGCGCAAAATAAAAAGGGTAGTGAGAAAATAAAAGGCAGGGCCCAAAATAAAAAAAGGCAGGGCGCAAAATATAAAAGGCAGAGTGCAAAATAAAAAAGGCAGGGACCAAAATAAATAAGGCAGGGTGCAAAATGAAAACGACAGGGCACAAAATGGAAAAAGGCAGGGCGCAAAATATAAAAGGCAGAGTGCAAAATAAAAAAGGCAGGGCCCAAAATAAATAAGGCAGGGTGCAAAATGAAAACGACAGGGCGCAAAATAAAAAAAGTCAGGGCCAAAGATAAACAAAGGCTGTGCTCAAAATAAAGCACAGGGAGCAAAAAAGGCAGTGCTCGAAATAAAAAGCAGGGTACAAAATATAAAAGACAGTGTGCAAAATGCAAGACAGTGGGCAAATAAAAAGGCAGGGCGCAAAATAAAAAGGGCTAAAATACCTTGGAAAAACACTACCTGTATTTGTCCTGGTCACGGGCCCAGTGGTTGAACAGGCGCGAGGCATCTGCTAAACAACTCCTGACACCATAGCGACACGCCAGATGAGCGATCCTGGCTCGCTGGTAGCTGTTGGAAACACGTACCATAAGTGACATGTTTGAAATGTGTTTGTTGGTTCAGTCAAATGAACATTGGTTGTACAGTCATTAACCTCTCCTAATTCATGTAGACGGCTGCAGACAATGATGGAATGCACAGATCAAGAGGTCATATCGAGACTGACTAATATCATTGATTTGTGAGCACCAACCCGTAGGTATCACAAAGTTGTCGCTTTGCCACATAAACTGACAAAGGGGAGTGTTTTAGGTGAGCTTGAAATAAACTACGGATCACTTTTGATCATAAATATTTAACATAAACTGACAAGCGGGAGTGTTTTAGGTGAGCTTGAAATAAACTACGGATCCTTTTGATCATAAATATTTAACATAAACTGACCAGGGGGAGTGTTTTAGGTGAGTTTGAAACAAACTACGGATCCTTTTTGATCATAAATATTTAACATAAACTGACAAGCGGGAGTGTTTTAGGTGAGCTTGAAACAAACTACGGATCCTTTTTTTATCATAAATATTTAACATAAACTGACAAGCGGGAGTGTTTTAGGTGAGTTTGAAATAAACTACGGATCCTTTTTTATCATAAATATTTACATAAACTGACAAGGGGGAGTGTTTTAGGTGAGCTTGAAATAAATTACGGATCCTTTTTGATCATGTGGTGTCACACAGAAAGAAGCGACTTTATTAAATGTGTCTGTGTCCGATCAGTTTTACTATTTGAAGTTATATCACAACCTGTAAACTAAGTGTTGAGGGACACTCTACAACATTTAACATACACCACTACGGCGATACCCATGAACATCGATACTTTGAGACCTTGCATCATTAACAAGGAATTCGAACCAACTACAAGCCTTTTACAAGACAGTGTTAAGTGAGATGCGTTTGACTCTACTCCATCAGGATAAGCTTGATTTTGCATTTTACGAAACATGACCGATGTACAAGCTGAAAGGTATATTTCACTTTCAATCCTGATACTCAATACCCATGAAAAATAGGGCTAGCTTAGAATATCGATAATCGGAAATATAGTCGATAGGAAAAATACTATTGATTATCGATATGAAAATTGTTTTATCGATAATATCGTACATTAACCTTTGTAATAAAAAAAGTTTTAATTTTCTCACACAACATATAATAAGTTCTTTATTCTTGGGCTAATTCTAAATTATGTTAGGACGTAGATGTGTTAGTAACATGTCAATACTCCCTAGTGATCTAAAAAATGTACTAAGTTCTTTCAGACTTTGTTGGCCTTTGTGTTCAAAGTTCCGCCTCCAATTTAATTTATTTTTCGATAATCAATCGATAGTTAGAAAACGACTATCGATATCTATGATCTATATCATAGCCAGCTACAATGGAAACTGGAACCAGAAACAACTCACACAACAAGAGGTGTGTCGTCGATGTCACCCTCCAAGCCGTAGATCTTGTAAGCATTGGTTACGAGGTCCAAGACGAAAGCCTGAGCATAACAATATATGTAAATATGTGCCTCACAATAAACCTGAGGTATTTACAAAGTGAGAGATTGAGCGAGTTTAGTTTTACGCCGATTTTAGCCATATTCCAGCAATATCACGGCGGGGGACACCAGAAATGGGATTCACACTTTGTACCCATGTGGGGAATCGAACCCGAGACTTCAGCGCGAGGGCGAACGCTTTAACCCCTCAGCCCCGATGTATTTACAAACCATTTGAGTGAGTGAGTCTAGGTATAGCTTTTAGCAAAATTCCAGCATTGTATCACCAAAAATGGGTTTTACACATTGTACCCCTGTGGAGAATCGAACCAGGTTTTCGGTGGGACGAATACTTTTACTACTAGGCTACCCCACTGCCCCCATTTTTATGAAGTTAACAGAATGAAATCACGTGGTGCATGGATTTCTTACCGAGATATCAGCAGGTAAGGAGAGACGGTGGGGTAGCCTAGTGGTTAAAGTGTTCGCTCGTCACGCCGTAGACCCGGGTCCGATTCCCGAGATGGGTACAATGTGTAAATCCCATTTCTGGTTTCCCCCGTCGTGATATTGCTGGAATATCAGTAAAGCCCATCATCTAGTAAAGACCTGCCACTACCATCTGAAGAACATCGGCAGCATCCGCATCTTTTCGTCTCAACTCCATCGTCTTCAGAAAATCCAGAACAAAGCTGCACGCATCATTACTCTCACCAGTCCTCGCTGTCACATCTCTCCCATTCTAAACTCTCTACACTATTCGTGAAAGGATTGATTTCAAGATTCTCTGTCTCACCTATAAGTCTTTCTACAACTCAGGACCTTCCTACCTTCAAGACCTTCTGACACATTACTCTCCAGAAAGAACTCTGCGCTCATCACAACAACTGTTACTTGCTGTCCCGAGCTACAATCTAAAATCATTTGGCTCAAGAACCTTTTCATATGCAGCAGCTTCTCTGTTGAACTTTCTCCCTATCGAGTTAAAATCATCTCCTTCCCTAAGTACATTCAAAACACGACTAAAGACTCATCTATTTCTCCGCTACAAGTGACTTCCAATCATCCGTACCTGCCAGCTGTATATAGTTTTAACTTGAGCTCAGGAAGCGCTTTGAGCATATCCCTGTGACGTGGAAAGGCGCTATATAAATGGCCTATTATTATTATTATTATTATGATTATAATTATTATAATATTCCTAAAAGTGGCGTAACACCATACTCACTCACTCAGGGTATTCCTCTTACATGAAATTCAATGCAGCAATATCACAGCACTGTTTCATTTGGCGTTAAATCCAGCTCACTTTCATCCTAAGATACACCCGTGAAGGTCCGGGCTAGAATATTGATCTGTAGTAACCCATGCTTGTCCTAAAAGGCGACTAACGGGATCGGGTGGTCAGGCTCGCTGACTTGGTTGACACATGTCATCGCATCCCAATTGCGTAGATCGATGCTCATGTTGATGATGACTGGATTGTCTGGTCCAGATTCGATTATTTACAGACCGCCACCATATAGCTGGAATGAGTGTGATTTAAAACTCAACTCACTCACTATCACTTAGATCCATAAGCAACATATTCAGATGTGTTTGACATGAAGTAACTGCGTCAGTATTATGTCTATAGAATTGTTACAGTATGAAGTGGGAAACCCTTGTTGAACTCTTCTACCAAGGAAACTGAAGATAAGAACTGCAACACTTCTGCCCCAGTTGTCTAAAGAGTGTGCACTGTGTGTGTGTTTGTTTGATTTTTAACGCAGCACTCAGCAATATTGCAGTTATATGGCGGCGGTCTGTAAATAATCGTAAATAATCGCGTCCTGACCAGACAATCCAGTGATCAATATCATGAGCATCGATCAACGTAACTGGGATACGATGACATGTGACAACCAAGTCACTGAGCCTGACCACCCGATACCGTTAGTCGCCTCTTAAGACAAGCATGGGTAACCGAAGATCAATTCTAACCTGGATCTTCACGGGTTTGAGTGTGCACAGTACACACTGTGGGTTATACCAAAGTGAAAGACGTCTGAGATCTGCACGATTTAGTCCTTCCTCTGACGTTAACCTTCCATGCCGTAATATAACTATTTAAAGCGACGTCAAATCCATCTCTCACAATCATATAGTTAGTGAGTGAGTTTGATCAGTTTTCCAATATTCCAGCAATATCACGGCGGGGGCACCAGAAATGTGCTTCACACATTGTACCCATGGGGAATCGAACCCGAGTCTTCTGCGAACGCTTTAACCACTAGGCTACCCCATCCCCCTTCATACAAATCGACTAAAACAATGAAATAGTTGTGCAATCAGAACCGCACTAACCTTGAAAGCCCCATATAAGCGAGTGTTCATCAGTCTCCCCTCAATCTCGTCCAAGGCCCGGACAGCCGGAGTCCAGGAGATGTAGTCACTGTCATTCCTCAGGAAGCCGAGAGTTCGGAAGGCTATGGACTCGTTTAGCAGACCAACCCTTTTAGACATTAAGGTTCGACCAGTTAAAAACCTGTGGGACTTGGTTTTGTGGAGAATACATTTAGTCATGCCTTCTAAACGCTATATCTACTTTCTGTTAGACTTGGCTCTCTGCAATATATAAGCTATATGACAGTGACCTGTGAATAATCGAAGACCAGCCAATCCAGTGATGGATATTGTAATGGACGATCCACAATGGCCGTAATATGACAGACCAGGAGCTAGACCACCTTATACATTTGGCTGACGGCCAGCATTGTTGGCCATCCATAACTGGGATTACAGAGGGGGTTCGTTTGACTGAAACATCATTTATCAATGAAATGCTTACCTAGCCAGACTCAACGCATCATCGATTATCTGAGCTCTGTTGACTGGCGGGATGACCTGCAAGCAAATACATCTGTAGAGATATGCTTTGAGTGAGTGAGTGAGTGAGTGAGTGTGTGAGAGTGAGTGAGTGAGTGAGTGTGTAAGAGTGAGTGAGTGAGTGTGTAAGAGTGAGTGAGTGTGTACGCGAGAGAGTGAGTGAGTGAGTGTGTAAGAGTGAGTGAGTGAGTGAGTGAGTGTAAGAGTGAGTGAGTGAGTGTGTAAGAGTGAGTGAGTGTGTAAGAGTGAATGAGTGTGTTTTGAGTGAGTGTGTACGCGAGAGAGTGAGTGAGTGTGTTTTGAGTGAGTGAGTGAGTGAGTGAGTGATCTGTTTCCGAGTGAGTAAGTGATCTGTTTCCAACTAGGGCTAATTAACCAGCTGGAGAGTCTACGCGAATGCACATACCTTTCAGAGGCTACACAGAATGCACTTACTGTATGATCGGTGTCCAGCTGTCTGATCAGGGCTAACCAGTTAACCTCGTCATAATTTACCCTGTAGTACCCGGTCTGGTGGAGGTTAACTAGAACCCAGTCTCCGGACGTTGATGGGTCTGTGATGTTGACGTCTTCAACCAGAGCTGAATAAAGCAAAAGTTACAGCAAGTCAAGAAGAATACATTGATCTGTAAATTGGTGGTAAAGAAATATTGTTGTCTTGTCGCTTTTGATTTCCTTTCTTGCAGAAAAGAGTGACAAGTTGAACATGTTCAAATATCAGTTTAAGATGTTTAACTTGAATCTTTGTGAGTGGGTGAGTTGAGGTTTTACGCCGCTTTTCGCAATATTCTATCAATATCACGATGAGGGACACCAGAAATGGGCTTCACACATTGTACCCATGTGGGGAATCAAACTCGGGTCTTCTGTGTGACAAGCGAACGCTTTACCTACTGGGATACCCCATCGGTCCTGAATCTATGTACAGTACCAGTACTATTATATTATTATGTTTAAGGGATCATTCTTACTTGAGTTCTGTGTCCTGTAGAGCCATGATATGTCGTTATACGTGTAGTTTTTACTGAAGGACGAAGTGTCAGACCCAGTAGCATAAGTAAGTGGAATATCCCATTTATATCTGAAATAAATATGAATGTATGTAATTATCCACATCATAAATTTATATAAAATTCTACTCAGTTCTATTTAGATATATTCCCCATTCCCTCGGCAAACCTTAAACCAATCAGACCAATCAGACCACAGCCAAAAGCGTGATACTCGGCCGCCATTTTGTCCCCGTTGCTCATGGCATCCAGGAGATTGATATACGCGTTGTACATTAAAATGACTCTCCTTTGAATCTCTGAGGTCGTAAGGGTCGATTCCTATTTGATGCGTATTTAAGCACAATTATATCACACGTTTGATTTTACAGGCAAATTCAATACCAACTTCAAATCTGGTTCGTTGATTTTTCGTTATAATGTGCATACGAATACATTGAAGTGTTCCTTTTCTGTTTGTAGTCAGACCTGGCAGCAGTAACATACCCGTATTTCGCTCCATCGTCACTGACGTTCGCACCCATGTTGCTTTGGAATAGCTGCTGACTGACTTCAAGGGCCCCTGACCTTAGGACCGTAACCATGACAACTGGATAATGCATTTGAAGTAGCCACGGTTCCATTAAATCTCCAACGTTTACAGTTATGTTCTCTTTTGCAGCTTCCTGTAATAGAAGCACAGAGGACGTGATTAGTCAGTGAGTGAGTAAGTATTGCTTAAGTCCGCATCAATAAGGCCAAATTAAAAAAATGTTGCTGTTCCGATTTCACCTCTTTAAAATTTAGGGTAGGTAGGTAGGGATTCTTTTTTTACATTTTTTTAGAAGTACAGTATGAACTAATAACACATTTATCAATGTTTAATTGTTTATTCAAACAAGCTTGCGGCCATCATGTCGACTTTCTCTATCAGAATGATCGATGCCCACTGGTGCAGGGCAAAAACAATGGTATCTGAAAGCTTATTTTATTCATACCACTTAAAGTTAAAGTTCAGGCCAAAATTTACAGCCATTCGCGGCGGATGTGTTTAGTGTCAAGTATTGAAAATGGTTTTACGCCGTTTTGAGCAATATTCCGCAATATCACGGCGAGGTACACCAGAGATAGACTTCACACATTGTTCCAATATGGGGATTCGTACCCGGGTCTTTGCCGTGACATGCGAGCCCTTCAACCAACAGACTACCCCACCAACCCTGTTCAGTACTACTGGACCGAAACAGAATGTTGAAGCCATTTATATATACAGTAAAACCATGGCACAATACACATGTAAACTGTAAATCAATTACAAGACATCCGGAACTGTAGGACAAAACGCATTTTGACCTTTAATCAACATGTATTTCAACTATGAATCAATAACCTTAGAACATGTATTTGAACAACAAACAATTACCTGACAAAATGTATTTGAACTATTAACAATTACATGACAACATGTATTTGAACTATTAACAATCACCTGACAACATGTATTTGAACGACTAACAATTACCTGACAACATGTATTTGAACTATTAACAATTACTTGACAACATGTATTTGAACTATTAACAGTTACCTGACAACATGTATTTGAACTATAAACAATTATCTGACATGTATTTCAACTATTAACAATTACCTGACAACATGTATTTGAACTATTATCTATTACCTGACATGTATTAGAACTATTATCTATTACCTAACAACATGTATTTGAACTATTAACAATTACCTGACAACATGTATTTGAACTATTAACAATTACTTGACAACATGTATTTGAACTATTAACAATTACCTGACAACATGTATTTGAACTATTAACAATTACCTGACAACACGTATTTGAACTATTAACAATTACCTGACAACATGTATTTGAACTATTAACAGTTACCTGACAACATGTATTTGAACTATTAACAGTTACCCATGTATTTGAACTATTAACAATTACTTGACAACACGTAGTTGAACTATTAACAATTACCTGACAACATGTATTTGAACTAATAACAATTACCTGACACACGTATTTGAACTATTAACAATTACCTGACAACATGTATTTGAACTATTAACAGTTACCTGACAACATGTATTTCAACTATTAACAATTACCTGACAACATGTATTTGAACTAATAACAATTACCTGACAACATGTATTTGAACTATTAACAATTACTTGACAACACGTATTTCAACTATTAACAATTACCTGACAACATGTATTTGAACTAATAACAATTACCAAACAACAGGTATTTCAACTATTAACAATTACCTGACAACATGTATTTGAACTATTAACAGTTACCTGACAACATGTATTTGAACTATTAACAGTTACCTGACAACATGTATTTGAACTATTAACAATTACCTGACAACATGTATTTGAACTATTAACAATTACCTGACAACATGTATTTGAACTATTAACAATTACCTGACAACATGTATTTGAACTATTAACAGTTACCCATGTATTTGAACTATTAACAATTACTTGACAACACGTATTTGAACTATTAGCAATTACCTGACAACATGTATTTGAACTATTAACAGTTACCTGACAACATGTATTGTCAACTATAAATAATTATCTGACATGTATTTCAACTATTAACAATTACCTGACAACATGTATTTGAACTATTATCTATTACATGACATGTATAAGAACTATTATCTATTACCTAACAACATGTATTTGAACTATTAACAATTACCTGACAACATGTATTTGAACTATTAACAATTACTTCACAACACGTATTTGAACTATTAACAATTACCTGACAACATGTATTTGAACTATTAACAATTACCAAACAACAGGTATTTGAACTATTAACAATTACCTGACAACATGTATTTGAACTATTAAAAGTTACCTGACAACATGTATTTGAACTATTAACAATTATCGGACATGTATTTGAACTATTAGCAATGACCTGACAACACGTATTTGACAACACGAGTGCCGAAATGTTAGTATATACACATGAAATGTCCCAAGCGGTTGGATTACACTTTCTACTCTTCCAACTAATCTGCCATCGATCTTGACAACATCATTGACTTTGACTGACAGCGGTAAAACGATCGGGCAGCCATATTGTTTGTTTACCTTCTCGTCTGCAGATAAATCAATCGATGTAACAATAAGTATAAATATAATGGATTTTAATTGTTTTATGTATTTTATTCAAAAAAATACTCAATTGAACAACCTTGTTTAATAACAATAATATTGCAAGCGAATCTCAAGGTGACGTTATCTCCGAAATGCCAATCTGTGAATGAACATAGTAAAGGATATTAAAATTTCATGAATAAAAGAAGTATTTCTCTTCGAAATCGACGCTTGACATGGAACACTTCCTCGTCAAGTGACATTTTGCTCTAGGGCATCGTATGAAAAATATGAACTCCGATATATTTGCCCTCGTAGTTAATAATATCAGTTATTCAATGATTGCTTGACATGCACTTGACTTGTTTAATAATCAAGCAAGAGGTACTTGATTCGTTATTACATAACATGACAACATATATGTTTTTCATCATATGATATGTATTTTAATCATTTATATTTACCTGACAACAAGGTATATAAACAGTTATTACACTACAAACTTGTACATGGTCCATTATCTAATTACCTCCCAAGAATCTGAAGCATAAATTCATTACATAAAAATCAGGTATTTGATCGTTTTTAATTAAGAATGTATATGAGCGATTTAATTTACTAACATAAATTAGAATCTTTATTTGACCACTCGATAACAAGTATTTAATCCTGTTTTAAATTACAGCATCACGTATTTGGACCATTATCTGACCACCTGACATTTCAATCTGAATACACGACAGTCATGTATTTATACCAGGTTTGAAGGCTGAAACACAGGCATACAGCTGAGGCATACGATAGTGATAATAGATGGTATGCCTCGATGCCAACGGGGTATAAAAGAATCTAAAACAATACCATAAATAAATATATGTGGTTTTAGGGTACATTTGCATGTTTTCAAATGTGCGAATGTTTATTACGTGAGAAATAGTTGTATATACTACCTCGTTGAAGACTGTCCACAGGTCAGAAGTTTCAACGGATCCGTACTGATGCTTGACTAGATACGCCTGAAAACACACCGACACATATGTGATACATGCATACATAGAACACACAAACACACATGTCATGTGATATATGATGCATGCACATCGCCCGCCTGTTAAGGGGCTGGATAACGCCGCGATATATATTTACACACGCACACGCGCACATACACCTACAAATATACATACATACAGACAGACAGACAGACATACATACATACATAACCACGCACACGCGCACAGACAGACAGACAGACAGACAGATAGACGGACAGACAGACAGACGCATACATACATACATACATACATACATACATACATACATACATACATACATACATACATACATACATACATACATACATACATACATACATACATACAGACAGACAGACAGACAGACAGACAGACAGACAGACACATACATACATAGATACATACATACATACAACGTCGGTTACATTTGTTGACTTTCTACGCTTCTGCAGCGTCTCATAAAAAAAACCATGTGAGCCCTTAAGATTGTTGCTGTATATTCTGCCTGAACATGTTCACGGATTAGACCTGCCAGTATGTCACCTTCCCCTTCCAACTGCTGTATTTGCAGTTCAGATTTGAATTTAACGCGGAGAGCTCAGGTGCGTGCAATTAAAACATCAGTGTACATAGCGAAAGTTAATATTATGCTGGCACAGCAATCTCAGTTTTCCACAGCGAGAACTAATTGGTGAGAGGTGTGAGGGGATACTCCTTGTGTGAGCGATATATCAGAATGAAAACACTTACGGGACATGTGTGATAACGTACTAATCTCACACAAATTCTGACTACATATTGCGTACACATTCTTGATACATCCGGTGTAATTTTCACGGGTGCTGTAATGAATCTGTTGGCTTGTTATGAATAAATAGTATTAGTTGTGCTTGATGAGTATGTTCATTTGTTATGAATGAATATTTTTATTTGTGCTTGATGAATATGTCTACTAGTTATGAATGAGTATTATTAGTTGTGCTTGATGAATACGATTATTTGTTATGAATGAGTATTATTAGTTGTGCTTCATGAATATGTCTACTAGTTACGAATGATTATTATTGGTTGTGCTTTTTAAATATGTTTATTTGTCATTAATGAATATTATTAGTTGTGCTTGATGAATACGATTATTTGTTATGAATGAATATTATAGGTTGTGTTTGATGAATCTGTCTACTAGTTATGAATGAGTATTATTGGTAAACATGTTACATATGAATATGTTTATATGTTATGAATGAATATCATAGGTTGTTGTTGATGAATATGTCTACTAGTTCTGAATGAGTATTATTAGTTTTCTCTGGAAAATGGTTCTGATTCATAACCTTTCGTAAACAAAAGGGAAAATGCAATAATATGCTGGATGTATGAGCAAAAATTGAATTGAAATCTAACGTTCATCACATGCATTTATATATTTTTTATTTGTTTGTACTTGCATTAATTGCCCTCAGGAACAGCTCCTCTCCGAAGATCGTCCGCAACATTCGCACAACGCAGGCTCCCTGTCAACACAAACCATCTTTGTGTATAGCGCTATGCATACAGTAAACCAGTTCATTGTCACCATTAACCATATATTTGTATATCCCATGACGCGAACTAAAGCAACGCTATCTCACTGTCCAGATTAACTACATGTTTGTATGTTATGTCTTTTCTGATAGCAAACCAGCTATTTTTATGCATCGGCCCATGTATGCAGGTACCACTGACAGATATTACTTTAACCTGTGTCGCTGTCGATAGCAGGAGATCGGCGCTGTAACTGCCAAACCGAATGGTACCAGAACGTGTTTTTCCACTTAGTTGATATATGTCATCGTATCCCAAATGCGTAGATCGATGCTCATGCTGTTAATCACTGGATTGTCTGGTCCAGACTCGATAATTTACAGACCGCTGTCATATAGCTACACCACTGCTGACTGTGGCGTTATTATTTATTATTATTATTATTATAGGATATTTATATAGCGCACATATCCAGGCAACTAGTGCATGCTCAAGGCGCTGGTATTTTCCCCTCGATCATTGGATGTCAATCTCAACGGCACATCGTATTATCAATCTCAACTCCCTGGGGAGTATACAACTCTTGCAGCCACTAGGCGCACCGAGTTATTGTGGCTTTCTCATCCTGACGATGACCAACAAACAAACAAATATAGACATATTCATTAGGATTCGTTCACTTGTTGTTTAAGACAGAATAGAGAGGAAAACTTTGGGCTTTTCATATTACCTTGTAGTGGTGGTCCGATTAATTGAAATAATGGAAGATTGGTCGCAGTGACTAAACGATCAAGCAATCGATCGTGTTTCTCATAATCTAACACAAACTGTTTTGGGAACACATGTTTGCATTAACAATAATATTCCCAAGGTTGGTTTTCATCTGTCAGAAAATTTACGATTAATAAGCACTAAAAGTTCGTTCCAAGTCATGATTGAATTTATCTCAATGACTCTAGCAATTTATGTTCCTAACATACTATTCACCCTTTATAGATGTGAAATTTGCAAATGTATTTTGTATAATTTGAAAAAAATCCCCAAAACGTTTGTCCATTAACAAACATAACAGGAAAATTTGATAAATGGCGCAATCCAATTATTTTCGATGAGTGATTGGTTGTAATAAACCAATCATCAATTATGAGATTTTAACCAATTCCCAACACTATTACCTTGTAGTAGAGGATGTGGTCGAACCTTGGAACATCTTTCACAAGTGGCCAGCGTTTGTTTGTGTCGAGGATAAACAGAGGGTGGAGTTGGTCTACCACAAACATTTCATCCTGAAAAACAAGTATGAAGCTATTCTAACCAAACATGCAGTTCGTTGTAGTGTTGTAGCTAGGACTATTGTAACCATGACAACCTGCAGTAGCTATGACGACCAGTTATGTGTGAGTCCATTGCAAAATGGTGTGCCAGACTCCACTGTAATCTTGACAAGACCCATTGTAAGCATGGCCACATGCGGCACATGAATGTTGCTATGGTAAATTTAGTGCCACCTACAAAATTTGGACCATTGTACGAATGGAAACGTCACCAAGTAGACATCGTTGGTTGGGGTGATGTTTGTGTATCAAGAGATATCAATATCATGGAGTCCCATTCTATCAAAGCTACTGTTCTTTCTTTCAAAACATCGTTATCAAATGAAATATTGTTCAATATCATACCCCGATGAATACTTAACTTATAAGCTATCAGTTTACAAAAGGGGCGGTGGGGTAGCCTGGTGGTTAAAACGTTCGCTCGTCAGGCGAAGACCCGGGCTCGATTCCTCACATGGGTACAAAGTGTAAAGCCGTTTTTCTGGTTCCCCCGCAGTAATATTTGCTGGAATAATGCTAACAGTGGTGTAAAACTAAACTCACTCACTCAAAATGCATGCAATATCAGAAAGAATAGATACGAGTACATTATACGGCTCAGTTCACTATTTGCGAATCAATAAATTCGATGGCAGTAGCGAGAGAACATGTCAGTGGGTTACAAAATGAACAATATATGAGAGGCAGCAGGTTTAGCCAGTCATATGAAGAGTAGTTTTAATACAATTCGATGATAAAACCTATACAATTCAAATGTAACAGTGAGTAAGTTTAGTTTTACATCGCTTTTCAAAATATTCCAGGCTCAATATCAACGCTATGGACACCAAAAATGGGCTCCACACATTGTACCCATGTGGGGAATTTAACCCGCGTCTTCTACGTGACGAGCGAACGCTTTAACCACTAGGCTACCCCGCCTCCCCTTATAACATTCAAATGTATTACCTCCAAGCAGGTCTTACAGCTCAAATGTAAAACATATCATCACACCTGACTTGAAAGCTATACCGTTCACGAGATTAGTATGACATACAACTACGATCTTGGTTTAATGATGTGCGCCCAACCTGTCTCCATGACGGATGAAGACTGTGTATCACGTGGTACTCAAAGAACACTGCAAAGCCCTCGCTCAGCCACAACCATCGCCATGTTTTCGGCGTGACCAAATTTCCAAACCACTGAAAAAAACAGGAACATCAGCTTTGAGGAATTATCTTATAATTTACAAATAATAAAGAACAGGGTACTCCCATGTCTCTCTGCAACAATGTAATACGTTTATTCCAAACTCTTTATCATCACTTGTAAAGTTTAGTCACTGAAAGTTGGCATACCTTCAAACTCTATAAGAAGTCAACTGTTACCTGGTGACACACTTCATGTACAAGTAGAAGCATGTTTCCCAGTTTGGCCTTCATCGTGTTGACTGCGGGGTTGAACAGTATGTCTTTATATATGACCAATCCCCAGTTCTCCATGGCTGCACCGAGGCGGTCTCTGATGAGGATGTTATCTGAAAGTGATTCTGATTGGTCATCCTGAGGTTTCAAATAAGGTTGCTGAGGTTTACTGAGACGTCTAACTGATCTTTAAAATTGTAAGTCAGACTGAAATTATGTTTCCAGGTTTCACTCAGTCCAGGTACTTGACAAAGTCCGTGTCTGCAAACTACCATTAGGCACTGTGTGTCGGTTCGAATCCTGCTTTCGCTACGCTTTTCGGCACCTAAGCTCATAACGTTAAACGTCTACTGATTAATAAAGTCCATTGCTATAAATCGAACTCGGCTACATGCCAAATATATGGCAGCTGTCGGTAAACAATCATTTAGGATTTGAGAAACACGTGGTTGTTGTTGCGAACAACGTCCTCTAGATACAATCGGGGTACGTTGACAATCACTGGCCAGCACGATCGAACTTGTTGAACCCTATATTTTCTATACCTTTGAATTAAGACGGTTTTGCGACAGCTTAACACCGTTACCGTCTTTGATAATAATTACTCATTTATCTACCCCTGTTCTCTCCCACTTTCTCTCTCTCCTCTCCCTCTCTTTTTCTTTATATCTCTCTTGCTATCTCTCTATCTCTCTTCCTCTCTCAGACTCTTTTCTCTTAGTGAGTTCTTCATCTCTCCCTCTCTTTCTTGCTCTCTTTCATTTTCTTTCTCCTTTTTATTCTCTTTCTGTCTCTCTCTCTGTCGTCCTCCCTCTCTTTCTTCTCTTTCTCCTCGATTTCTCTTTTTTGTCTCATCTGTCTTTTTCGTCTCCTCTTTCTCTCCATTTCTTCCTAGATCTTCTTTCTTCGTCTATTTCTTTCTTTCTCCCTTCCTCGCTTTCTTACTTCCTCTCTTTCTTTCTCTTTCTAATTTCTTTCTCTGTTTCAACCTCTCATTATCTGTCTATCTCTCACTCCTTCTCTCTCTTTTCGCCTCCACGAGTCTTCATCTCTCTCTCTTTCTCTCTCTCCCAAAACCACACATACAAATATGAGTATATTTTTCTTTCCCTCATATATTCTCCTTGCGAGTTTGAACTGTCACTTAATGGGTGTAAGTACTTCTCTATCTCTATCTCTCGCTGTCTCTTTCTACCCCCATTTTCAATCCGTTTCACTCTCTACAAACTTACACACACACGTGCATGTACACTGTACTTCTGTAACTATGAAACACGGCTCTAAACCCCATTCCACACAGCTCAGTTCAGTTACCTAGTTTCGACAGTGGATATGGCGGGTGCAGGTTCTGGTTAAACCAATCGAAGATACGTATTCCTTGCTCGTGGGACATCGTTACTTCAGCAATGGTGTCAGGTTTAAATATAGTGCGATACTGCAATACAAAATAAATATCTCAAATTACTCTCCACACAAAACCGTTGCTTTACTTTAATCTAGGGCTGGATCATAGAGATCGATTATTGTAAAATGAATATCTTTTGAGCCAGCCTATATATATATATATATATATATACACACACACACACACACATACACACATATATATACACATACATACACATACATACACATACATATATATATACACATACACACGCGCATATATAATATATATACACACATACATACACACACGTATATATATATACACACACACATATATATATATATATATATATATATATATACGCGATGCACTCGACACATGCGGGATGCGACAAATTTTGCACGAAATACAAATCCAAGCACATCGATGTGGAAGATGAATGAGGACTTCGAAATTACATTGAGATATCAGAACATCATCACAACCGCAAAATGATGACTGATGTGGAATATGAGGTTACAAATGGCCTAGTTCGAAACAAGGCATATCAAATATAAACACAACAATGTTTGCCTGCAGCTGTTTCTAACATACCAGGGACGGTCATAAGGTGAATAGAACTCACTACATCAAAGCTGCAAGACATTTGTGTTGATAGCGGTTTTGTAATGTTAGTAGGGCTGGCTAGAAAGATCCATAATCGGAAATATCGTCGATGGGTATCATTATTTATTATTATCATATCGTACGTGAACTATTGTGATGAAATAATTGATACATTTACTCGTAAAATAAACTAAGTTAGGCCTTTATTCATGGGCTGCTATTATATCTAAATAACGCCTGCTCAACCGCGTCTTACCATGAGTGAGTGAGTTAAAATTTAACGTCACTTCGGCAATTTGTAAGCCATATCGTGACGACAAAAAGTTATGTACTAAGAATAAACATATTTCTACTTATTTAAAAACCTGTCAGCGAAGGACGGTATGACAACTTGATTGTCACAAATTGATTAAAACTAGTTGAGTTCAGTGTAACATGATAAATTATTTCAAAACAACACAATATAAAATCGCTCTATAGACCGCCAGCAACTGAAGATAGATCACCATACTAGGGACCATGGGGACTTACAGTGCATTTGCTTCCTGCATGGGTCAAAGCTGGATTTACACCATCTCTGCAGCCGCTGGAGACTATTGGAAAAATTAGCCAAAATTTAAAAGAACAAAAATACTCCTAAATTTAAATTTAAAGGACGTCGTCTTACCATGACCCCCGTGGACGTGACGTTTTCCATGTAGTCGTAGTTGACGACAGCGAAGGCGAGGATGTAGGTTGACATGTTGGGTGTCCTCTCGTAAACGTCAGCGACATACTTGTCGACCCTGACGCATGATTATGTTTGCTTGTAAGTGTGCCAAAATAGAGACTTGCATAATGCTATTCCTTCATTTTAGGTCTGTCACATGTAGTGAATGAGTATGGTTTTACGCCGCTTTTAGCAATATTTCAGGAATACCATAGCGGGGCACACCAGAAATTGTTTCCACATTGTACCCATGTAGGGAATTGAACATGGTTCTCCGGCGTGACAAGCGAACGCTTTCACCATTAGGCTACCCCACCGCAACTGTCACGTGTAGGGCGATATGTATGAGAGTCCCGTGACAGGGTAGAGGTATCATCCCAGGGAAGCCGCGTGGTCCGGGGAACAGAGAAGTATTTTTCTCAAACTTAATATGAGTGAGTGAGTTTAATTGTAAGCCGCTTTTAGCAATATTACTGCAATATCACGACGGGGAACTCCAGAAATGGGCTTAACACATTGAGGCATTGTTGGGAATCGAACCCGGGTCTTCGGCGCGATGAGTGAACGTTTTAACTCCTAGGCTACCCCACCTGCCGCTTGAACGTGCTCAGCTGTAAGTGGAGCGTAAAAGCTTCCGAGTCCCGCAATGGGATTCAAACCAGCCACCAAAGTCGGGTGTATTGTCCACATGACCAAAAGGGGTATTCCCATGAACAAGCTGTCAAAGAAAGGATGACCTCACGCCTTGTCACGCAATATTGGCGTCTCCACGACAACGCAGTCTTGCATTGCCATGACGTGCTTACGACTAATTTATATTTTGATACATTAGCAACACACCTTGGTTCCTGCCGGATGATGTCAGTGTTGGACCATGAGGTATAGTTGCCCACTCCCCTCACCAGCGTTATGTTGAAGGTGGCCTTATAGCGAGGTTCATCGAAACAGGGAAAAGCTTGGCGTGCTCCAGATGGCTGGAAATGGCTTATGGCTAGGTAGCTATAACACAATTAAGCATGAGTGAGTGAGAGAGGTAATATTTAACGTCACATCGGCAATATCTCAGCCATATCCAGACGAAAACAATTTATACAATAAAGATGAAACTATTAATAGATGGACAGTAAAACTATTAGAGTATCACAGATGTGAACATAAAACTAGCATGTAAAACTAAAACATTTTAATTAAAGAAGACAATTCAATATAAAACACGGGCTATAGATCGCCAACAACTGAAGGTAGATCACCATACCGGGGACAATGTAGTCAAACTTAGCCATAATTAAAAATCACATAAATTCTACGCTTAAAATCCTGGTAAGATTAAATTTACTTGTAAGTATTGGGACTTACGTACCTTCTCAGGAATTAAGCATTAGTGTAGAACAATAACACACGGTTTTATTTCAATCTCTAAATACTGTGTCACAATCACGTGATACTGGAGAGCAAATACACAATCATATGACGAATTTACACATAAAGATAGAACTACGAGACGACGAGTGAGTATGGTGTTACGCCGTTATTAGCAGTTTTGCCTCAATAGCATGGCCGGTGTTCCACACTAGAAACGGGTTCCACCCATTTTACCCATGTAGGTAATGGAATTTAACCACTAGGCTACCCCACCGCCACCTCAAACGACGAAAGTCGCATAAACATAGCATGATTCACCAATACGTGGATAGAATTAGGGTTCGAAGCCCTCTAGGTCTCATCTAAACAAAAGTACTAGAATCGTTACTTAACTGCGAAAGTGTAGTCCCAAATATAACATATGTACCAATGGTATAACTGATTGTAACAACAACTGCTCCCATCAAGTTGGGAACAGAGTGTGCGTGAAACCAGCTTGCAATTAAGTTGTTCAAGACAAAGTCAAATTAGTCTATTTATAAAATGAGTTAATCTATTAATCCCCGTTTTCAAAAAACAGGTTTAAAATACTCTAAAGATTAAAAGTGCAGTAATACAAGTAATAAACCTGTCACAAACACATACCAATTTCATATTAAATAAGATAAATTGATAGTAACTGAAAGTAAAAACAAAGTTGAGAAGAGAAGACAGATTATCATTGAATCACAAAAAGATCTATTTACACCCAATCCAACTTCTCAGTAAGGAACCTGTTTCAGGCTCACCATACTCTACTCACTAGACGGGGCGGTGGGGTAGCCTACTGCTTAAAGCGTTGGCTCGTCACGCCGAAGACCCGGGTTCGATTCCCCACATGGGTACATTGTGTGAAGCCCATTTCTGGTGTCCCCCGCCGTGATGTTGCTGGAATATTGCTAAAAGCGGCGTAAAACCAAACTCAGTCAGTCAGTCAGTCAGTACTCACTAGACAGTGGACTGTTCCATTACACCCGTAGGTGTTATCCTAATGAACCTTCTAGTTTAGTGTCTGTCAATCGACTGTCTGTAAATTGGGTGTTTGTCGATTGGGAGATAATCTGCAAGGCTTTAGCTTTGAGAAAATACTGTTTTAACACGCTCATTAAATATTGATTAACGTGATGGATTATTACGGGAAATTTCACTACGGTGAAATCAACTGCACTTATATTAACTATTTTAATTATTTAGAAGCTGAATACGGTATATTGTTAATTTGTGATAATAACGTTTACACCCTGAGAAACAAAAATAATCAGAGATTCATGTTAAATGTGAAATCTTCCTGATGAGTAAAGAACGAAACATGTTGGAGAAAAAGGCATTCTGTTTTTATTTATCTATCTGCTATTATACCAAATACATACATTCACCTCGAGCAACATAATGTACGGAGGAGCCTCAATTTTCTTTAACGGAGCTGCTTCCCATGAGTTGAATTGCCGGGTTTGAACTGATCCTAAATAAGCCATGCTTGTCGAAAGGGGCGAATACCGGGATTGGGTGGTCAGGCTCGTTGACGTGGTTGACACATTGGTATCGTAATTGAGTATATTGATGCTTATGCTATTGATCACTAGATTTTCTGGTTCAGATATGATGATTTACAGATCGTCGTCATATAGCTGGAATATTGCTGATTGTGGCGTTAAACAACAAATAAATCAAACCCCACATCAAACGGTTGCTGTATGCTACACAGAAGCTGAGGGAACCAACTAACGGTAGACCATGTCTTTGACACATGTCATCGTATCCCAATTGCACAGACATATGCTGTTGATCACTGGATTGTCTGGTCCTGGCTATTAGTTACAGACCGCCGCCATAAAGCTGGAATATTGCAGATGGCGTCGTAAAACTAAACTCACTCACTCCAAATGGTCGAAACCCTCACGCTCTGTTTATGATAACTTTATCTCCATTGTGTGAAACCCATCTTGGTGTCCTTTGGAGTGTTATTGCTGGAATGTTGCTAAAAGAGGCGTAAAACCATAGTCACTCATTTACTCATTCAAATTGTCTTCAGACGTTTCAGTGCGGTACTCAGTGATGGAAAAAAATTCTGATATGCACATTATAAGTTGTTCACTGGTCAGGAGGGGGGGATGGGTTGATGTACCCTCGATGTTTGTTTATGTTCCCTGAGTCCGAAGTATTTGTCTTACCGAACACCTTAATGTTAATTTTGAACTGTTTGAAGCACGGGTACAAATCTTTTTGTATCCATCGCTAGATTTTGCTGACAAGAAAAACAGATTTAGAGTTATCTCTCTTCCGTCGATTTGCATTCGCAAAACATCGGTAATTTTCGTACATCATACGTGTTTCAATGTTATTCGAGATAAAGAATTACTACCGCGAAGTACCAAATGAGTTGCGATTGACAGCGGGGTACATTGATATCTCTCTCTCTCTCTCTCTCTCTCTCTCTCTCTCTCTCTCTCTCTCTCTCTCTCTCTCTCTCTCTCTCTCTCTCTCTCTCTCTCTCTCTCTCTCTCTCTCTCTCTCTCTCTCTCTCTCTCTCTCTCTCTCTCTCTCTCTCTCTCTCTCTCTCTTTCTCTCTCTCTCGTACTCCTGCCCCAGATCTGCTTACTGTTACAACTGATTACAGACCCGTGCTATATTTGCGGGAGTCGATACACGTTTATATATTCCCGGAGTTTAGTTAAAATTGGGTATTTACAGTGATGTGAATACAGATGAAATAACAGACGCATCAGAATTATAATCTAGCCAGTAATTAACCTTAGAGAATGGCCGGTTATGCATGGAACCTTAACCTTGTGGATGAGGAGCTGAATACTGTAGGCTGACCACTTTACGAACACTTTTGTTACAGCTTTTTGTTATCATTTATTGGCAAAAAGTATTCCACGATTTTGCATCCCCTGTACAGTGTCACGGGAATGGACATACCAGGGTGTTGGGGTTAGAAATGATATGTCATAATTACATTCCATGTAGTGTCACGTGGATGGACATACCAGGGTGTTGGGGTTAGAAATGATATGTCATAATTTCATTCCATGTACAGTGTCACGTGAATGGACATACCAGGGTGTTGGGGTTAGAAATGATATGTCATAATTACATTCCATTTAGTGTCACGTGGATGGACATACCAGGGTGTTGGGGTTAGAAATGATATGTCATAATTACATTCCATGTAGTGTCACGTGGATGGACATACCAGGGTGCTGGGGTTAGAAATGATATGTCATAATTACATTCCATGTACAGTGTCAAGTGGATGGACATACCAGGGTGTTGGGGTTAGAAATGATATGTCATAATTACATTCCATGTACAGTGTCACGTGGATGGACATACCAGGGTGTTGGGGTTAGAAATGATATGTCATAATTACATTCCATTTAGTGTCACGTGGATGGACATACCAGGGTGTTGGGGCTAGAAATGATATGTCATAATTACATTCCATGTAGTGTCACGTGGATGGACATACCAGGGTGTTAGGGTTAGAAATGATATGTCATAATTACATTCCATGTACAGTGTCACGTGAATGGACATACCAGGGTGTTGGGGTTAGAATAATAGGTCATAATTAGTAACACAGTTGTCATAAGTGTTAAAGACTATGCACATGGAAATTTTAATTTTTCACTTACATTTTTTTCGGGTATGTTTAAAGGTCACATGCAACCAAAAAATCAAACATAATTAAAACACAATTATCACTTATTCGTGACATATAATATGCATTGCTGGTTATGAACAACATATAAACAAAATTATAAGCGTACAATCGCAAATCAAAAGTGCAATATTGTGTACTTCGGTTTACTTCCCAAGAAACGAGGTTCATTTGCGTATGCCCTCACGGCTTATTGTGTGTGTATATGTAGAGATGTTGGGTTTTGTAAATACATGCTCATTTTTTGTGTATAACATTTTGCAATCAACAGACATTATAACATGTCAAATGTTTAACTATCACACCTGTCTGTCTGTGTAATTACATAATGTGACAGAGACCGAACTCGGGCCATAAATCAATGCATTTTGTTTGTGGTGTATAGCCTGATTGGTGTTAAGTTCAAATTGCATGTGGTCAGTGATAGCAGCTGTGTATTAAATATTGTCATTAGCAGACAGGCAGGCAGACACACAGGTGTCAATAAAACAAGTCATTGAGTTTTGTCTGTGACAACGACATATCTATATCACAGTTGGAAATTCTGTCAACGCTAAATAATGACATTGCTTTTAAGTATCGAACTGAGAAAGTGACTCGGTAAGAAGAACGTGTGGTGAAATAGACAAATGAAATTATATAAACAGTTAATTTACTGTCATAACATATAAAAAGCTCGCGCCTGTGAGATATCAACAAAACATTAGAAAAATAACTCACACAGAAGCTTTCCGAGTATTCACCGGCAGCGAACCTATTTCACTGGGCATGTGCTATGAGCGCAGCCCAGCTGTTGAAACCACTTTTTCCCCCAAGCGCTGGGGAGAAACTAGTGAATCGTTTGAACTCGCGGTTTTTTTCATCGCGTTATTTTTCAACTTTATAAGTTGAATAATGTCTGATCCTGTACTGCTCTGTCGTTGTAAATGTTGTGTGTAGCATTAAAAATTCATAAAAATGCATATTATGATGGACCTCTTTACACAGGTACTACTATGTGTGGCGCTAAATAATAATAAATGCATTATGAAGGACCTCTTTATACAGGTACTCCTATGTGTTGCGCTAAACAATAATAAATACATTATGGAGGACCGCTTTATACAGGTACTCCTATGTGTGGCGCTAAATAATAATAAATACATTATGAAGGACCTCTTTATACAGGTACTATTATGTGTGGCGCTAAACAATAATAAATACATTATGGAGGACCTCTTTATACAGGTACTCCTATGTGTTGCGCTAAACAATAATAAATACATTATGAAGGACCTCTTTATACATGTACTCCCATGTGTGGCGCTAAACAATAATAAATACATTATGGAGGACCTCTTTATACAGGTACTCCTATGTGTGGCGCTAAACAATAATAAGTACATTATGAAGGACCTCTTTATACATGTACTCCCATGTGTGGCGCTAAACAATAATAAATACATTATGGAGGACCGCTTTATACAGGTACTCCTATGTGTGGCGCTAAATAATAATAAATACATTATGAAGGACCTCTTTATACAGGTACTCCCATGTGTGGCGCTAAACAATAATAAATACATTATGGAGGACCTCTTTATACAGGTACTCCTATGTGTGGCTCTAAACAATAATAAATACATTATGAAGGACCTCTTTATACATGTACTCCTCTGTGTGGCGCTAAACAATAATAAATACATTATGAAGGACCTCTTTATACAGGTACTCCTATGTGTGTCGCTAAACAATAATAAATACATTATGGAGGACCTCTTTATACAGGTACTCCCATGTGTGGCGCTAAACAATAATGAATACATTATGGAGGACCTCTTTATACAGATACTCCTATGTGTGTCGCTAAACGATAATAAATACATTATGAAGGACCTCTTTTTACAGGTACTCCTATGTGTGGCGCTAAACAATAATAAATACATTATGGAGGACCTCTTTATACAGGTACTCCTATGTGTGGCGCTAGACAATAATAAATACATTATGAAGGACTGCTTCATACAGGTACTCCTATGTGTGGCGTTAGACAATTATAAATACATTATGAAGGACTGCTTCATACAGGTACTCCTATGTGTGGCGCTAAACAATAATAAATACATGATGGAGGACCTCTTTATACAGGTACTCCTATGTGTGGCGCTAAACAATGATATAAAAAATAGATTTATTATGAAGGACTGCTTCATACAGATACTCACTGTGTTCGTCCAGCCTGGTCATCATAAGAATAGTAACTTAATCCATACGGTGATGACGTCAGTTGGTCCTCAAAACGAATCGACAGCTCGTATTTCTCACCTACAGCCAGTTCCTCATTCAACAGCAGTACATAAAACTCCTTATCATCATCACATATTGTCTGAACAATTCTTGGCACAGACTGATTGGCTGTTAATGGCTTTAGTGAAAGAGACTCTCTAAAAATGGTTAGCTCTTTGACATTAAGTGTTACGTTCCATGTCGGTTCTTTGACGTCCAGGAAGATGGAGACGTTGCCGTCGACTTTGAATAATGATGTATCATTTTGGTAAATGTCCATAAACAGCTGTATGTTGTAGTGATACGGGGTCACTTGACCTGGGAGGGTTTTGTTTACAGGCGGTGGTTGGGTGGTTGTTGTCGTTGATGCAGATGTAGCATCTGAAGCGTTTGTGGTTGTCGATGCCGTCTGTGCCAATGAAGATGACAACGACATCATTGATGTTATTGTAGTCGTTAGGTCATCCTTGCCTTAAACATATAATTGCAACATGTTTTGAGCTGATTCAGCAAAATTACAGCCCGTATAAGATCACTTGAAAGGGTTGAAAATTGACCTAATTTCAATAGTTAACCAAAGGAAGTTCTACATGTGGCATTCTTATCCTGTTACTGATGAAGAGTCCTTTTTTTAGATGTTTTTAAGTACATGGAGCTGACATCTCAGATATAACAGCTAGGGTAAAGTCTGGGAAGATGTGACGGAGGTTTAAAGAAATACTACACCTGATTTATCAAGCTTTTCGATAATACTTGTTGCTACAAGTACATTTATCTCTTCTTTAGCGGATTAACACGCACTACTAACAAGCCGGAATAATTACATAACTCTACGTGGGAAAATTGCTTTTCCTGAATTTTGAGACAACATCATGATTCCCTGGCAGGCACAGTGTTTGGACTTTGGTTGTGCTTAAACCGCCATTGCTAACGTAGATGACGGTGAGGTGAAATAGAGTTGATCGTCCCGTTCAACAGAATTGTTCATCTAAAGAGACATTTATGCATTTAACTGTGTGTGCGCGTGCGCATATGTGTGTGGGTGTGTGCGCGTGTGTCTGTCTGTGTCTTTGTGTAATTGTGGGTGGCCATGTGTGTGTAGATATGTCTGTATGTCTCTTTCTCTTAGTGTGTGTTTGTGTGTGTGTCTGTGTGTGTATATATCTTTTTGTGAGTGGCTGTGTATGTGACCGCCTCTCTCTCTCTCTCTCTCTCTCTCTCTCTCTCTCTCTCTCTCTCCCTCTCTCCCTTCCTCCCTCCCTCCACCCCTCCCTCCCTCCATCCATCCATCCATCTATCTATGTCTCGAAAGACAAGTACAAGATTCCTTTCCCTGCACACATATTTGTCTCATGCGTAACATCGTCTGTTAGTTATTCAGACAGACAGACAGACAGACGGACAGTACTTTATTACCTTAAAAGGTATTCGGTTAGGTTCACAGGGCTTGACAATCAATAACAACATAAAATATGACATTACCAAAACATAAAAAGAGATAAATATGTGCTTAAATATAATTAAATGAATATAAAATGATAACTGCACATTCGACATGTATTTAAAACTGCAATACTTTGAGGTACAAAAGACGTTGGAGCTCGTCTAGTCTTGGTGATTGGCACTGTATAGAGCCTGTCTATCTGACTCTGCACATTCAGTGTCTTATTTAATCAACATCGTTATATCCATAACGCGTCAAACCGAAACATGAGTCTCATTAACATTAATAATTATATGTATCCAGTTAAGTGAATTGGTCCCAAAATACTGGACTGGTTATTGTAATAAGTTGTGCAACAGGACGGGACCCAGTCAACAGGAAACGAGACTGTTGTGTAATCAGTGTTTTCACTTGTTTATTAACCCGTGAAAGATCAGGATTAGAATTGGTTTTCAGTAACCCATGCTTGTGGTAAGAGACGAGGAACAGAATCTGGTGGTCAGGCTCGCTGACTTCGTGGACATATGTCATCGTACCCCAGTTGATGCTCATGCCGTTGATCACTGGATTGTTTAGTCGAGACTCGATTTTGCAGACCGCCGCCATATCACTGTTATATTGCTGAGTGCGCCGTTAAACAACAAGCCAACCAACAGGTTTTATTGAACATTTACTGACTGACTGACTGACTGACTTCAATCAGTGGATTTTTCAAAAACCTACTTGTCCCGTAAAAGCGTAATATTTAAGTACCAAAGCCTCAAATCAATCAAACATTTAATTGTTTATGATATCTTAACAATGGCGTACTTACTTGAATTAGTAAATCCTTGAAGTTCTTCTCCGACCAATATCCCCCTGACCGGAAGTGACGTATTGGGCAGGTGGCACTGACACACCACATGACGAGGTCCTGCTATAAACACTATTATGCCCACAGCAACAGCCAGTATCACTGCCAGTAGTACCAGAGCACACGCACATGGGACACTCAGATAAAAACCTCTTGTTCACTCCTTTGACGACGTCCTTGTTTGGTCCTCCATCTTCCGTTACTAAAGCATCACGTGCATTCAGTGACTGTGTTTCCAAACGTTCTTTAGGAAAGCTGCTTTAAGCTGTTCCGGTTTCCTCCCTCGGGAAGTGTCAGAGAGTTACGATAGATATGCCGACGTTGGCGTGACTGGTTCTCTCATCAGGTTTCGCCGCCTCAACCTTGGAGAAACACGCGCGGCTTGCAGTACAACATTACTCCTGTGTAGCAGTGTAAAATAAACACATGATACCGAGACGGAAAACAAGTTGTTCGTTTAAACATAATATTATCTGCTTTACTGCAGATGCCTGGATTGTGGATGCATTTCCTTAAGCCCACACACTCCGACTATCATTTAGCCATTATATGGCTGTAACATCTATCTCACAGCATTCAGTCAATGATGTTCAGGTCTCGTAGTCCGTTCTCTACTCAATGTCTCGTGTATCGCATTATGTTCCTTCCTTCCGCCCAGCCCTGCCTGCAATAGTAACGCCGCAGATTCTTCAAGCTCTTCAACGTCTTTATTGTCATATTGATACAAGAGCAAACAATATACAATATGTACATATGTACATAAACACAAACATGCGTCATGATGCTGAGTTATTTACGTAACAGTATATACAAGTGAGAGACAAAAAGTGATAAACATTTGCTAAGTTTAAAATAGACAGGCGACATGACCTTATTCAGAGTTGATAAATTTGCCCAATTGTGATATGTTGGAGGGATGAATGATTTTCGGAAAGAATTAAGTGATGTACACTTGAACAGATAATGGAATTCGTCACCAACTAAATTACAGTTAAATAGTTTATATAATATTTCTTCTCTCGTTATGTTCTGCCATCTGCCAGTTTCAATCGGAAGGTTTAGATTTGAGGTTCTAAATTTCAAAATTGGGATATATATACAAATACATTTTGGAAATAAGAGATATTTTTCAAAAGCCAGTGGGTTTTTTTAAATGTTGATAATAAAGTCCCTTAGAACAAAAACGTTTATCTTTTGGTATTGTTGAATAAACTGACTGACTGGACTGTTCCAGACTCGATTATTTACAGACCACCGCCATATAGCTATAATATTGCAGAGTGTGGCGTAAAACTAAACTCACTCACTTATTACAAGCGGCTGGTTACTGGACTCGCCTGGAGTGAGCCAGTGAGTGAGTATGGTTTTACGCCGCTTGTAGCAATATTCCACCAATATCACGGCGGGGTACACCAGGAATTGGCTTCACACATTGTACCCATGTGGGGAATCGAACCCTGGTCTTCGGCGTGATGAGCGAACACTTTAGCCACTAGGCTACCCTACCACCCGTCATGTTTGGACATACTGGTAGATTCCGCAAACAGTACGAGACTTAAGCGGGTATTCAAGTGGACTATCGCGACCTTAAATAATAATGGTATATCACAGAGGTGATTGCATACCGACGACCTCAGGTAAATAAACCGTGACCCAACAAAGTCACAGATCAGTTAACCAGGTCACAAAAAATGACCGCCCATCGATTCCGTCGTCTAGTGCGATCAGCGCACGTGTCTGAGTACCACACATGATGCGAGATGGGACGGTTGGGTAGCCCAGTGGTTGAAGCTTTCGCTCTTCACGCTGAAGACCCGGGTTCGACTACCCACATGGGAATAATGTGTGAAGCCCATTTCTGGTGTCCTCAGCCGTGATTTTGCTAAAAGCGGCGCAAACCATTCTCCCTCCCTCACTCACTCCTTCCACTCCCCTCCCTCCCTCCCTCAGCCACATCGTATATGCTTCTCTGTAAAATGATCACATCACTCTCACACACACACGCACACGTACACGCACGCACGCACGCACACGCACACACGCACACACACAAAGACTGGCCATAAATTATAAACGGTCCTTTACACTGTTGATGGAACCACCGAGCCTTCGTTGTTTCGCTATAAGCTCTGTCCACTAGACCATGTACGCGGTCTGTGCTACGAGACTTCGCTAGTGAATGTGACTCATTTAAATGAACCGTTTGTTATCTGTCAACTATGCTGATACCGAGAGAACGAGAGGCGGTCTTGGCAGTTATATATAATTTATGTATCCCGTTGTAAACAACTTGATGTCTCAGAGAACATAGAGATACGTGTTAAACGTGATGATTTATTCAGGCGAGTCTGTTCCGCAAAGCGACGGTAGCACTGTGTTGACCTTACTTTATCTTTAAGGTTACACCGAACCAAATGTTTTCCCATATACTTCAATAGAAACGTTATACGTTCTTAAATTATAACCAGCGCGTTTCAAGCCATTACATGTACATATGCGCAGTGTGGCCTGAGGGCTGCAATAAAAACAAAAACAATTTGGACAAGGTTAACCAGGGTCTTTTCCGATTACAGGAAGCGAAAGACACCAACCCCAGTTCTGCCTCAAATGTCACCTCCTTGAAAACATCTGTGCACGCATACGTCATCGTGTTAAAAAAGGCAGCACTAGATATGTAAAAATGTTGTCAGTTTTAATTACTGGATGGATGTACATTTAAAAGAAAACACATAAATATCTTGCACAATATCATCCAATCACAGCTGTCACATCCCTCCATCAGAACTGAAGTTTACTTACGATACTCGCTCAGGGAGCAATTGACATTTATTTAGTGTAGTAGCACATTAATACAGGCTTAGCTGTAGTCGCTTTTTGGAACTGACATATCATATATTGGTGCGTCCTCACGGTGCGAATTGTAGTAACAACTTGTGGCATACGACTTGTAGTAATAACGTGTAGCATACGACTTATAGTAACAACTTGTGGCATACGACTTATAGTAACAACTTGTGACATACGACTTGTAGTAACACCTTGTAGCATACGACTTATAGTAACAACTTTTGGCATACGACTTGTAGTAAAAACTTGTGGCATACGACTTGTAGTAACAACTTGTAGCATACGACTTGTAGTAACAACTTGTGGCATAC